AATATCACTTGTAATTATTTAAATATTTACATTAATTAATAATATTAATTTTTACTTCAATATTTATTTCCTTTATTTCTTTCTTCAGAACTGCTAATGAATAAAATGTTCAAATCTGCATAACAACATTTCTTCGAGTAATTACCTACTTAAATAATTATTGCATGATTCATTCATCTTTTATTAAAAAGTATAACAAAACCTTGTAACTACACAGACAAATGTACAATGTCCTAATTCCTTTTGTTTGCATGTTTCTGATGACAAAGGGAATTAGTTAAACAAAAGAAGTGACATAATGCTTAAACTAGGGATTGTGAACTTTAACAACTTAACATAGTAACTACTTTCAATAAACCTGTAAGTATTTTTGTTTTTAAAAAAAACATTTTAAAATGTAAAAATTATGCTTGATTTAGTTACTATTTGGTGTGATCATCAAAGCTCCCCAAGCAAAATTTTTAGTGATAAAATAAGCATTTAAATGTCAATGATTCAGCCATTAATTATTTATTGTTAAATGTAGATTATAGTAATTTATTCTAGAGTGATTATGATTATAATTAAGGAGGTATTAGTATGTAATATTAATATAGATTCAGTAGAATAGTAGCATTAATTGAATAATAGAAAAATTAGCGCTGTAGAAACAAAAATATTCCGAGGGACTTTTGCCTGCAGGTAGGTATAACATCAACAAGCAATTATTTCATGAAAAGAAACTGGCAAGTAGGCCAAGTAACTTTTTAATTAAACAAAGGTCAAGGGATTACCCTTAAACTTATTAAATAAAATCAAGACAAGACTACTCACCGTTCCGAAGATATTTCCCATAAAGTTTCTTTAAAATAATTGCGTTAACATCAGCTTCAAATGTGAAAAAACAAAGAATTTCACTTGTCTCGTGGTCTACAAAGAAATAATAAATTCTGGACAAAATATTTATGTGAACTTAAAGTTTGAATTTAACACGCGAAGCTTATAATTAATTTTAGAACTAATAAACGTTAACAACACTTCTGTCTAACCTAACGAAACACTTTTTCTAAAACAAAACAATAAACTGTCTGTCTTTCCACCGAGCGGTGAGCTACGAAACGATCACTCACATTCATACAATTTACTTTTCTTTCGCTAATGTGTGTGAATACATCACTTCAGAGTGTGTGTATGTGTGTGTGCGTTAGTGCTCCACAGATAAAACCAAACCTCCAAAATGTGACTGGTGACATTCAGTCAGTAGCGCTAGTGGTGCACCCATTGACATTTTGGTATTTTCTTAGTAGTAAAGAAAATTCATTATCGTAGGTAAATTTTTATTTAGGTTGTTGTCCACTAAAACAATTGTTTGATATTTTGATTCCCTAAATAATGATAAGCAATATAAAAATAATAGTAATTCTTTGTTTCAGGTTTTTAAAAGATGTAAATTTTAAGAAAGCTTGCGTGGTTACTATGCACCTTCAACCCAAACCTCTCTCTGTTCAAAGCATTTCAAGAAACGATTTTTTTTTTAATATTGTGTTTTTGGCTTCACAAATAATTGATGATTGCTTACCTTATACGTCTATGCTGAAACCTATCAAATTTATAATTTTATTTTACAGTTGATTTAAAAATCAGTCCTAATTAATTGATTTTACCATTTTTTTCTTGTTTTGTAATAAATCGGTGGTTATTCTATAATTTAATATTTTTTGGTTTCCCTATTATTTCACTTCGCCTTCATTAAAAGTAATTGTGTAATTGGAGAAAGCAAATAATACATACAATTTTGTATAATTATTAATCGAATGGACATTGTGGAACATGAAGTCCAATCGATACAAACTGATTGTCTACACAGACGGACTCGTGTTGTAGCTCTAGCGCTACTGTCATTCATTGCCAACATAACAAAATGAAGCCCGCCAATTTCAATAATCCAAAAAAAATATGTTTTTTCTGTTCGTAACTTCGTAATGTTTGAAGTTGAGAATTTCAACTTATAAAGTATGGAATTAACTACACATACAAAATTAATAACATTTCAATTTTACTACATGCACTTGGATTCAGAATGATATGTTTTATTCTGTTTTATTGGTAAATACATATAGGTAGGTAGGTACTTAACTAGTTATGAAGTGCAAAATGCTTCACATCAATGGAATTAAGTGTCAATTTACCATTTACCGTTTTATTGGGTGCGTATAAAATTATTTATCTGTAGTTATTTAAGTAAGCATCAGTTAACGCTGTAAAATCCTCACCTAAATACATACAAAGGCAGATAAGTAAACTTTATAATTCCTTGCTCATTTTATTAGAAGCACGCACGTCGAGCGTGTCCTAAGTACGCGCTCACCTCGCTCAGTTATAATCTATTTGCAATAGTTCAGTTAGATGTTATATTTTTGACCGACTCGATGCATATTTTTAACTGCATGCAAAAAGTGTAAATTAAATTAATTTAAAGCAAAAGTGTATGGTTGTCGTAATTTATATTTAAATAAGTACTTACAACTACTTTATAAGGTGAGTTTTAATTTATGATGCCATTATTTTTTTATTATTATCGATAAATATTTGAAAAAGATTAAACTCAGTTGTAATTTGTAAACCTTTTTATTGGCATAATAATATCGTCGAATAATTTACTGAGCCTACTTCTAAATAGTTTAAAATATTTTAATAGCTTTTTAGGTATTCGCAATTTGAAAAAAATACTTTTCAGAGTTTAATTTCAATTTGGTTATTGATGACTTTTTCATCTCAGACTTGTGACCTTATCGCCACATTGATTATGATAATTACGTCGGTACACATTAACTATTCATGAATAACTTATTAGGATTTCAGGCGGATAAGTAACCATACTGTGTAAAAATCATAGTGATAAATATTCTGGTATATTCATCGACGTCATTTGTTAAGTGGACTAAATGAACCGTTTTTATCTAATGTCTATTCACAATTAAAACACACAATATTGCGCTATGACAATAGTCTGAAAATTCTCTCTATCATGAAATATTGAAACAATAAAAATACCTTTATTTCAGTAGCCATTGTTTATCATGTTTACTGTAACCATTGCAAAAGTCCGGTGAAATATTCATATTAGAAACCTATTTGTTAGCTGCGACTTCTTTTGCATAAAAAACTAATTATGTATTTAATCCAAAAACATATTTTATTAAAACTTGAATTGAATTGAGTTTTAAATAATTTAGACTAAAAATCACTCAAAAACACAATATCCCGTGATGATCCGAACCCGAGATGCTAGGCGCACGCTTCTCATGAGCATGAGGGTGTGTAAGTTCGAAACTTGGCAATTAGGTAGTTTCCAGGGTATCAAAATTAAAAATGTAATTAGTCCGTCGTCGGTTAAATTATGAAAAAATATTAGACCCGTATTTTTTTATTTTCTCGTATTAAGTTGCAATACTTACTTATATATAATAATATATCATTGAAAGTATTTAATTTTGTAAGGAAAGAAAAAATATGTGTCTAAAGTTTTAAATAAATGTACCAGACGGACATTGAAATAAAATTTAGGAAAGTACTCTATTGCCATTGCTACTTATTCCGACTTATATGTAGGTACTACTTAAGATTACCTATTTAGGCACATAAAATTTTAAAACGTCTTTAGTAAACTTATAATTTCTAATTTTAATATTTAAATCGCCAATCTGCCTTAGGCAAGCGAGGTGTAAGGTAATGCTCCTTCTTTATCCATGTGGGAAAAGAGCGTTTACTCTCCATCCCTTTAAACTAGGGGTTAAATGTTTGTAAGAGGGTTCCTCGAGTTTTTTTTAAAAAACTTGGTTCTACGTGAGATCTGGTTAATTTTTTGTAGTGATATTTATCTTGGCTACCCAAGACAATTTCATGTCATTTCATGTAGGTAGGTACAATATAAGTAGTAATATTATACCTACATGAAATGTCTTATTACAAAGGGTTTATTATTTTAATTGCGATCATAAAATGACAAAATTTCATTACCTACTTAGGTATTCAACTTTACATTATCAAATTGTTATAAAACTACAATTCAGACATCATTATCTCGGAAGTGTCTCACACTTATCTCCTGAATTAGGTACAATAATTTGATATATATTTAAAATATTGTATGACTGATGACCCCAATAATTTTTGATTGATGTAAAATGATGGCTACCTACTTAAGTAATCACGTTTACAAAGACTGATAGGTAACATAAGGGCATTGCTCAATTACTTACTGTTCGATAATGATAAGCTGATAACATTTTATAGACAGCAAATATAATGATGTTTTAAATCCACATACATACACAACAATATAAGTTTGTCATGTTTTTGACTTTACTTACAAATGTTATTATCTGATTTTCCACAAACACGCTGTACTTAAAATGTGGGAAATAAGCTTTCATTTCTTCTTTGCCGTTCCTAGTTCAATAATTATTTACATCACCAACATGCGCCTATTATTGTCTTTAAGACAATGATTGAAACTAGTTGAGATCAATAATATCGCTCTGAAGACCTTAAAGTCAGTGGTTCTGTAGCAACATTCATGGGTAATGCGTGTTGCCAATATGATGCAATGGAAAATAATACAAATTGTAGTAGTGCAGCTACACACAGACATGATGACAAATAATTATGAATATGTATATGTAAATGTAGTGTATCTATCTGAGCTCGGTAACCATGGGTCATGCACGAGGTAAATGCCAGTTTACTAACACAGATTAACATAGTATGCATCTAGATAACAGCATCGGACACACATCAGTAACACAAAACACTCAATGGTTTTAGTCATTCTATTTAATATGTGTGCATAGTGAACTAGTCTCTTTGTTCCAGGAAACACATATATGTATATGCCGACTCATTTGATTCATTTGTCGTATTAAAGTGATTACTGTTTCAAAAGTTATCAGTTCAGTCCGTAACTTAGTCGAAGACTGTAGTGGGCTTCATACAAACGAATTGATAGCGATAAGCTCAAAATGACAATAGGTAAACAAGTAAAATCAAAACTGAAGAAAGAGGGGGATTTTGTCCCTCCTGATGGTGGCTGGGGGTGGATGATCGTCGTGGCAGCGGGGTTCTCTAACGTAAGTATTTCTTATTATCTTATGTTTGCCTAGTAGTGAAGTAATAAATGAGCATCAATTATGGTGAATAGGTACCTAACGTACTTCCCAAGGCTAATAAATAAAATATAAACTTTGCACTCCACGATACTTATGTTTATGGCATTTTATTGCATTGCCATCCGGCAACATGCCAATCGTATGTGTGTTTTTGTTTGTAACTCCCATGAGAGCACGCATTTTTATCAGTATCTAATATTAAATCACATATTAATCGGAAAAGGAGGAATATTCATTTTCCCTGCAAAACTTAACAAATTTAAAAACAGATATAGGTAAATATAATAATTTAAATATATAAAAAAGGACACGTATTTTCCCTAAAACTTTAATTTTTATATCAGCTATCACTGCATTTTTCAGGTAAATAAGATACGTGAAAAATGCAGTAAATAATTACGTAAAGGTAGACATTGTTTATAAAAAAATCCCTGAATATGGGTGCTGCAGATCCATTGTGCAGATATGATTATAATTCGACGTAGGCACGAGTAAATATTGTAATTATCATGTATTATCAAAGCAGATTATTGCACAGATCTGTGGATTATAAATATTACACTTATTGAGCAGTATCGACTGTAGATTGATTGGTCGCCAATCGAGTTTAATCTTTATTTAATGTGAGATAAATTCACTTTTATCGTGCATACGTTGCCAAGTTATATAAGTATACCTTTATTTAATTTTGAAAAATGTCCAATTGTGAAAAATATGTTGTTTAATCCAAATAGGTTTAAAGTTTCATCAAAACTCAAAATATAGAAACAGACAAACGAACAGATACGTTTTGTATTATCATTAATTACTCATACAAATACCAACTGACAACAATTGATGTTGCTCTCAGAGTTTCTATGCTAGTAGTGTTAAGGAAAATGCGTGTACCTGCATATGCATAGGACCACTTTATCGTGCACATTTGCCTTACCTAACTCATTAAACCATAGTTGATGCATCGACTGTTTCCTTAATTAGTGGTCAGAATGATGCACTTGGTAGAGTTAAGTTTTAATCCTAGAAAATGAGTCAAACAGTATTTTTTTTATGGTATAACCCGGTGAACGCGCAGACGGTTTACCTGATGGTAAGCAATCGGCGTCGCCCATGGACACCTGGAACACCAGAGGCGTTACAAGTGCCTTGGAGTTTGAGGATCGTTGGGGATTCAGGAATTGGGGAGATTGGGGAAGGGGAGGGTCATTGGGCCTCCGGTAACCTCACTCACACGACGAAACACAATGCAAACGTTGCTTCACGTCGGTTTTCTGTGAGGCCGTGGTATTACTCCGGTCGAGCCGGCTCATTCGTGCCGAAGCATGGCTCTCCCACTCCAAAAAAGTAATTATTAAATTGACTAGACACATCGATACTTGTAGGCGAAGTACCTGTACAGTGTATTCGTCATGTTTTTCAAGTGTCTTTTACACCTAAATACATAATATGCATCTGATATTTACTAAGTAACCCTGATAGTATGACATTAATCATACTTTGAAGAAATGCATTGATAAGTACGTCCTTACCTACGTCTACAAAAGGTTTCCATTATCTCTCCCATGATTTAAATTGCAGGTTTAATTTCCCGTGATAAAATTAATCTTAATTAGAAAACACGTGATGCGTTGTACGTAATAATATAAAGATACATACAGAAAATGCTTACCTTACGTACGTAATATAATGTCGTACGAGTGCCAATTAATAATAACAATGATTAAATGTTCTCGACTAATGTAGACGCTAGGAGGAGCTCGATTTATAGTATCTTGTATTCTTGTATACAACCTCCGATAATTCATCACACACAGACACTTACTTTACAAGCAAATTATGTTAATGCAGAATAAATTTCTTATTCCAGCTGTCTGCATTGCCGATACTGCAACAGTTCGGGCTCTTGTTTCGGGACAAGTTTGCTCGTCTCGGGATCAGCAGCTCCGAGACGACCACTATAATCAACATGAACTCCGCCCTGACCTCTTGCGTCGGTGCGTGACGCGCCTTGCATGGTAACTCTCTGATACCATACCGGCCCCTTCATAATTAGCTATCATTATAATACCTATACCTAGACAATTGTCAACAATATACTTTGCATAAAGCTAGCTACTTGTAGAATTTGTATATTTACATTTATGAGGATTTAAAAGTTATCTAAAGTTATCATTGTATTCGTGTAATTGTGCAATAAAATAATGTTTAACATTCGATTATTTACTAGAATAAGTGTAAACTATCGAGCAAAGAACAAAGCATTGAAATAATAATTTTACGAAACACATTTTTCCTTTGCAATTTTTTATAGTAGGCATATGTATTACATATTTTATGATCCTTATCTATATATCTAAACAACTTTATGAATTACCTTGCAAATAAACTTGTAGCATTGAACGTTAATCTGAAATTCAACTTATCTAATCCATTTATGACTGTTTCCTTTTCAGGTCTAGCAAATGGTCCGTTGTTTAAAACGTTTACCTACAGACAGGTGTCGCTGGCAGGAGCTACGATTGTATTCATATCACTAATCTTGACTACGTTTTCTTACAACTTCGTCACTTATCTTGTGTCTTTCTCAATTTTATATGGTAAAGATTTTCTAGAAAGCATTTTAATTGAATGTAATAGTCACATAATTTAAATCAATTAATTATTATTTCTTATTTCAGGTGCTGGCTATGGTATAAGCAGTTCAGCTAACGCCCTCGCATTAAACACCTATTGGAAAAATAGAAGAAGATTAGCAACTGGTTTATCATGGACAACCACCGGCTTAGGGCCCATCATGTGGCCACATATCATCACAGGGCTCTTTGCTGTCTTCGGAGAAACAGGCGCTATACTCATCATCAGTGGAATATCTTTGCATGCAATAGCCTGCGCTCTCTTATTGCAACCTGTAGAATGGCATACTAAAAAACCAAATGAAAAAGACGAAGATCAAGAGAAACTTTTGAAAAGTGATACTAAAGATGAAAAGGAAAAGGTGGATGGTAAAAAGCAAGATAGTGGATATTTTAGTCAAATGTCGAAATTTAAAAACTTAAGTGCATTTTCAAGTCAATATCTCTATAATGAAGATGACCCAGTGAATCCTGGTTATGAGATCACAGACCCTGGTGTGCCTATGATGTTGCGTGCAAACGATGGCTATTTTAGTCAGTCTAGACAGTCTAAAAGCAGACTTTCTTCAAGAGAAGGATCAAACAAAAATTCTCAAATGAATTCTAGACTAAATTCTAAAAAGCCCTCAATGACGAATTTGCTCGAGAATCGATCTCGTAAATCATCAACTTTGTACTTAAATGAATCGAAGAAAAACTCAGCCGCTAATTTGGGAGCGTTGGTTCAAGAACGTGATACTTATAAACCAAAGCGAAAAACCTCAATTACATTAGAAACACAAATTCCAGAATCTGAAATTGAAGATTGTCCAACATTGAAGGCTCCTCAAGATCTGAAGGCTGACGAAAAAGCAGTAGTAGAAAAAATTGATCCAGCTCACGCTAAAGTTATAGCGGACAGAGCCGAAAAGCATTTTGCTGGAAGCAAAAGCATAAAATCTTTTAAAATGGATGGCCAATATGGAGAAAAGTATAATAAGGATAATCACAGTAATGTGTCACTAAGAAAAGAGCCTGAAGAAATGGATGAGAAGAAATATTTAAAAGATAACCACAGCAACCAATCGTACAGAACGCGACACAGGAGGAAATCTAATAACTTTAATTATGAAAGTGAAGTATTGAAACAAGCGTCGCTGAAATTGGAACAGTATTTGAAAGAGAGTGAGGACAGAAATGATAAAATCAAAATATTAATTACACAAATGGATGACGATGACAATGTTTTTGATGAGAAAAAAGAAGATGAAATAAAAGAAAAAGAAGACGTAGAAGAAGAAGAATTAGAAGAAAAATTAACGTTTTGTCAAAAAGTAGCATTGTTCTTTGATTTAGACTTATTAAAAGATTATACATTCATTAACCTTATGTTGGGTATAACTCTAGCTAACTTTAACGAATTAAATTTTTCCATTTTAACTCCATTTATTCTCGGGGACTATGGGAAAACTAAATCTGAAGTAGCATTGTTCATGTCTCTTCTAGCTGGGGTTGATATCTGTGTACGGTTCTGCATACCATTCGTTGCTGGTAAAATTGGATGGGATAACAATTCATTTTTCCTCTTTGGTGTGATGTCAATGGCCATGGGAAGAGTAGGTAGGTAAAATTACGTTTCTTTTTTTATACCCCCGAACATACAAAGGGATGTTTATAAGTTCAACGACTCCTACGTCCCTCTGCATGACAGAGTATGTCTATTTAAGCATCATTACTCTCTTGAGCGAATTAATCGTTAATTTAGTTTAATCAGAACTCACTAATGATGAATTTAAAATTTTGTTCACTTTAAAGAAGTTATGAAGTTGACAGTTTTTCATCTTTTCAGTCTTGGCCTACTGTCAAAAGTACTACGTGGTTCTGTTAGTGGCTGTGATGATTGGTTTCGGCAAAGGATTGCGAACTGTATTCATGGCCCTAGTTATACCAACACACGTGCCATTACATAAGCTACCGGGAGCTACGGGGATACAATTGATTACAGCTGGAATGGTTTATCTAACTCTAGGACCAGTTGTAGGTGAGTGGAATTCGGAACTTATTGTTTATTTGATAATAGTTGAAAAGTAGTCGATACTCGATAGCGATGACATAATTTTTTTGTATGTGAATAATTTTACAGCATCTCTAGTGGTCACAGCTAGATCACCATGTTTCCTTCATTCCTACTGTAAATGTTTTTATTCTTATTTTGTTGAAAACTTTCAAGCTATGGACTAAAGTGCACAATTACTGAGTCAGTCAATTACTTTACATAGTTTGTTGGTTTGTTATTGCAAAATAATCTTTAAACTGCCCATGAGATTTTCAATCAATTGTACTTAATAATACATGGGCAGCACTCAATAAAATCTTGTCTTCAATCTTTTTGCCGGTCTATAATCTAATTGAGTCTCTATAAGCTAGACTTGTAGACACTCTCGCTTCACCTGGGCTGGAGAAGTCATTCGATGATTTTCCCTCCTTAAAAAAAGTACTTAGAGACAAAATCAATAAGTTAAATGGAGATGGATTAAAGTTCGTGTTTTCTTGTACAGGATGGATCAAAGACAATGCATCTACAGCAGTGACGCTACACTGTCTCAACATCTTCACATGGTTGACCGCGTTGTCCTGGGGCCTAGAGAAATTCATAACAGCAAGACGACAGAACGTAGTCGAAAAAGACATTGTTAAAGCTTAATTATAATTTTTATGTCTTTATTTTAAGTTGTTTTAAGTATACTGATATTATTTTTTAAACGTCTTTGATTAACAGATAAAATTAAACCCAATTAACCTCAAGAATTCGTTAAATAATAATAAACAAATATAGCTAAGACGTATTAAAGTGTCGATGTCCCAAAAACACGAGTAAGATAAGTTTAATAAATGTTTTATCGTTACCATTAGGTGCATAAACTTGACCTGATTAAAATTCCTCGTGACTTTTAATAAATAAATATTAATTGTTGTTTGTTTATTTCACAATTTACGCTAGCCAGATGTAGCATGTGTTATGATAACTTACATAGTTTTAAACCAGAACTACGAGGTGATATACGAATAGATAACAACTGGACACGAGTGGTTTTGTTGGCCCTAAAAGCATAATTAACGTAATGAGAATAGTTTAAAGTACTTACTCATTACGTTCATACAGATATTTCTGTACTAGTATATACGTACATATTAAACATATAAATAATATAAATACCTGTGGATACAAAACCTATGATTCTGAGTCTAGTTTAGCCACTGATTAAGTATAAAAGTTATTAAAAAATATAACATGACGCCATAGGCCACCTACCAAGTAAGTGCAGTTCATAGAACTAGTATAACAACAGTGAACACAAACAATAGGTGATAGTAAACGGAAACTGAGAAACGAGAATAGAGGCCTAAGACCGGCTTCAACGTTGAAGCTAATACATTAACAGTGAGATGAAGGAAATAAACCTTTGTGTGATTGTTGATTCAATGATGCATCATTGGTTAATAGCCGCCGGATTTTGATTAACCCGTGTACCGCTCGGTTGTAGACTTGTAGTCGACCAATGGCTGTGTTACCAGGTCAAACTAAATTCGTCGGTGTGCCGGCGCAGTCTGACGTGTGCCCTTTTCATTGCGTTTAAAATTGATAGACAAATGTAATATGTATTGTTTTTTTTTAAAAAAAAAAAATGTTGTTCTTATATTAAGTTTGACGTTTCTAGTGTTGTGTTGTTATTGTTAAAATGTGATCTTTAAGTGACAGTTGAAGTGCTTAATTTTGATAATTGGTTCAAAATATTATTTTAAATTCGATGTTATAATACTTGATCAAATTGATCCGTTGCTACAGTTATTTAGTGTAATGTTTATAGAGAAATATTGTCGCTATATTTACTTTATTTAGTTGAGTGCCTCTTTTCGTATGTTAGCAATATTTTACGGATCGTATTTGAAGTCGTATCAATCGTAATAAAATGGTAGAGCGTCTCCTTTTGTAGATGGACAATGTTTAACAATGTAGCTTATGTCAATTTAACTAAGGGCTTATTTACTTTCTATAAAAGCTATTGGTTTTTAGGATAAGAAACGGTTTAATATCGATTTTTGTAAATAAATATAGGTAATATACGTAGGTATATATATTCCTAAATGAAGTCAAAATAAAATTGATATCTTAAAGTTACTACCTAGATTCAATCCATCAAATTAATTTATCAATAGTTTTCTATATGAGTAAATGATGTCATAAGTGCAATAAATAAAAAAAAACGAATAGGTATCACCTAGGTGAGTTGTTATGTATTTCAACTCAACATCAAAAAATTCTAGCACTGATGAAACTTGACCAATTGCTCGATTAATTTAATAAGGCGTAGGTAACTATAAATAGGATATTTATTTTTACAAAAAACCTCAATAAGAATACAATAGTTAATAAAAATAAGTACCTACTCGGTATTACCACAGTCATAAAAATCTGTTAGTTTGTAGTAGTAATAATCAGTTTGTAATATTTTCTTGAGCAAAGAAAAAAATGATGTTATCGATAACTTGATTATCCGGGCTAAACTTACTCATTATTTACTTTATCGACGAAATATAACAAAAGATAAAGGTATAATGCCGTGCGTGACCGTCTAATCAGCGATTTGGAACATTTCAGCTGTTTCAAATACACAATCAAAAATTTTAATTAGATTATTAATCCTTATATATTTACTATGTATGTATATTACCTAGGAATCATCGCTTCGGACTTAAAAAAAAAATCATCACCATTCATTCTTCCATGTAGGATTGTAGGGTCTACCCTATGAAGAGTCAGGTCATAAGTATCAGGGAAAGGTCTACCCTTCAAATTGATGATTCATTCAATTACAAATTGACTGACATTGTTTGTAACATGACAATTGACATCCGATCTACTTATGATTCCCCGAAGGGACAGTTTCGTCAGTTAGGTACGTTGTTGTTCTCATTAGGACCTACTTACACCTTATAAAGAATAAGTAGGTCACTAAATATCGGGAATACTTATCTTCATACTAGCTTCTGTTAGCGGTTTCATTCACGTTTCTGTGGAACAAAAAGTAGCCTACCCATGTGTTTTTCTAGAACGTAATGTAGGTATATATATTTCAAATTTCAATCTGACCCGTTTAGCCATTTTGAAGTGATTAAGTAACAAAAATACGTACAAATTCACATAGTTTCGCATTTTTTATATTAGTAAGAATTCAGTTGTTTACAGTTTTAGTATTAGATTAACAAAGATGAAAAGTTTACTTTTGAGTGAACGATCCAAAAATGCGAGAATATTATGTATCTACAGGCTAAACAAACCTTTAATGCCTTCGTTGTCAACAAGATGCAATACCAAAGTAACTAGGTTTATGATAAAAATTCCTCAAACAAATGTGAAAAGTTTACTTTTGAGTAAACGATCCAAAAAATGCGAGACTAATAAGTATCTACAGGCTAAACAAACCTTTAATGCCTTCGTTATCAACAAGATGCAATACCAAAGTAACTAGGTTTATGATAAAAAAATCCTCTAAAAATCATTTATTTTGTATCTACTACAAGTTGATCAATATCTAATTAAGATCTAAACATCTCTTGAAGTGTCATAATCCGACTCAGACATTGGCTAGATCTACACTGAATCAGATAATTTAATTTGATAGACCTAAATACGTGCGAGCACGTAATAACATTTTAACGATAACGAGACACATTACTAAAGTCAAACCGATAACGAATGTGAATATTTGCTATGCGCCTACAGTGTCTGTCGTCAACACAACATGGAGACAGTGCTACAAACATTCACGTATTTAATTAAGTGTTAAAAAAATAAATTTAAATTAAAGGTCAATAATCTCTATAAGAACCAAACAATAAAACTGTTCAAGTGTTAAAAAAATGTGTATTGTTTGTGAACTGACGTTATATTCGAAACTTACGTAATATTTAAACAAAAGTATTGTTTCGAGAAATGTGATTTGTGATTTTGAACTCAAAATGTCTAAAATTGAAACGAATAAAGTTCCCCCAGACGGGGGCTATGGATGGATTGTAACCATAGCATACGCTATGAACAATGTAAGTACCTACCTACATTTATTATCAAGTATCACCTATAGATTGCATGGTAATTTAGGTAATAATATCTTTGAAATGAATGTGGAAGGGTTTAAATATCTAGGACATCATTTTATAACCGTTATATTTGTTTAACAAACGTTCACGCAAAACTAGGTCTAGAAACTTGATAATTATAATATGTAGCTGACTACAGAGACTGTTGTTATCAATTAAATACAGTGTATTATTAAGTGTTACTCGTATGTAAACTGACATGACTTGTAATCATCTAAAAATAAAGTAATTTGAGACATCGTACCATAATCAAAATATGTCGCAACGACTAACGACATTAGCATTTAACACCTATTTTTCGGGGTCAAAGGTAAAATACGTGTTACTGGTGACTAAAACACACAATTTAACTTAAACAAAAGATTGATAACCGTTTATTTAACACTGCTCATAATCAATGAGTATTTTTTCTTTTCTTTTACACATATAGTATAGAACCTACTCTATCTTTCTAGATCACACGCATCACGTGTGCTTTTCATACATAAATATTACGCCTGTCTCCCATGGGGGTAGACAGAGACTTTAGGAAAAGCCAATTGCTACGATTCTTACATACCTACCTCTTTTACTTCATCAATGAATGCGTCTTTTCATGTAGGTATTCTCGTCGAATACTTTTACTTTGGCCCTTCTTTAATCGCCAATCTGGTCGACATACATATGCTCTTCTCCATGTGTTCTTTCGAATTTTGTATTCTCCACATGATCCGTAATTTACAAAAATGTACTGTGGCATAATAAAATTTCTCAGAATCTACTATCAGTTTGATGACCTTGTGGGTATCTTTACATTCATAAACAAAGAAATTATCTTAAAGAAAATAAAACACTAAACCCGCAGAAGTAAGAAGTCATTTCTATTTAGGAAAGAATAGTTTTTATCAACATTTATTTTCACAATGCAGATAAGGGGACCACGCTACAATTATTTTCATAGTACTGAAGGACCCTTTAGTACCTATAAATATAATTTAAAAATGTTACTCAAAGTAATATCTTATCTCATCAGTCTCCGTTGCAAAACGATAGCCTTCCTGAATTAGGCATTACTTAATAATTGCATTAAATGACAATTATATGACGTCATTCATATAATCTTTGATTAAGAAGCGAATTATCGCAGTTATTCTAATTTTATATGTCGGTACCTACCTTACATATTTACTTATCAGCCAGTGTATTAAAGGTTTGATTACTACTTACTACAATTCTGCCCAGAGAACCTCAGGTGTCTTCAGCTAATGTAAAATCAAAACAGTTGCTGGTACCTAAACATAAACCTGACTCCAATAGATAAAGAAATACATACCTAGCTTGAACTGAGATTCAAAAGTAGAAAAACTATCTTCTAGCAATTTGTAAAATATATACAGATACTTAAAAAAAGGAAGATATAGGTAGGCTAGATAGGTACTTGTTCTACTAGTTTACGAATTTTGTATTCAATGCTGTATAACTGAATACAAAGTTCGTAGGCTAATATGGGTATAATCCTTGGGTTACTGAATACCACTGAATACCTACTTAGTTACAAAGCTTTTTCAATTAATTTAAATTAATTTTTATTATATATATATATATATATAAAAATACAGTCTAACAGAGAACCTCATCCTTTTTTTGAAGTCGGTTGATAAAATTAACATACTAGTTACCCTCGATGCCGTCCTCGTCACATACTTATCCATTGCGTCATCAAACGTTGATATTCGACTTTATTTATTACTTTCTAATGATACTCATACCCGAAGAAGAGTTTCGAAGTTACTCAGATAATATCTATTTCCATATCATCTTTCTATCGTCTATCCTAATCATCTATTTCCATAGGTACTTTAATCTCTGAGTTAGCAGCCATGAAGATGTTAAATACTACCTACTCTACATTAGATTCCCTTTATGTGTGGAGCTACATGAACATCATGCTGATTTATATTTTAATTTCAATTTTTCCAGGTCGTCGTACTTCCTTTAATCGCCGGATTTGCTCTGGTATTGAATGACACCGATCTGACAGCTACACAGGTCACATTCATCATTGTATTAAATCACAGCATTGGTATGCTTCTGTCATTTTTTGGCGGACCCATGCTAAGTCGCTTTGGGTACAGAAAAGTCGCTGTGTTGGGCGCCATTTGTATATCAGCTGGTCTGATGATTATGTCTGCTGCAAATGAATTCTGGCAATTTATATTATCATACAGTATTATTTGTTGTAAGTATCCCTCTGATATAAATATCATCTGTTTAGGGTTTCGTTGGTTTTAAAAATATTATTTTAATTGCAGCAACGGGCGTAGCTGCAATCATGGCAGCGTTCACACTAGCAATTAATTCATTTTTCAAAGAGAAAAGAGGAAGAGCCGTTGGTGTTGGCATGTCTATAACAGGATTAGGGTCTATATACATGCCCTTACTCATGAGTACATTAATGTACGCCTATGGATGGAGATACGCAGTATTAATTTTGAGTGCAATTTGCCTCCATTCATTAGTGGCAGCTTGTTTACTTAGACCCGCTAAGTGGTACTTAAAAGATCCACCCACGTCAGAAGAAGCAGTTCCTCTTAAGGAACCAGAGGTGGAACTTGTCAACGGCAGTGTAACACCTTCATCTAAAACTGTTGGTATGATTCGTTTTGATTGTTTATGATTATTTTCGCTGTGAAGTGTAAAAGTTTTCTTTCATAAAATCACAAAATATTTCCAGGCATTGCATCATTACCACAACTAGCTGAAGAGCCTGGAGAAAATGGTGTGCTTCCGTCCAAGAGTCTCTCAATGCGATCACTTACGAGTAGTTCTAGTATCCAAACCAGAAACGCGATATCACATCCTGATATTCGAAACAAATTGCCTGACGCTCCATTATCGGAATCACGATACAAGTGGTGGGAGTCTCAAGAAATAAATCTGAGTAGTTCCATAAATATATTTAATGAAACAGAGAACTCGAAAGCAGTTAATGTCCGCGAAAAAGAAGTTGTAAAAGAGGAGGAACATAAGGGATACTTGCAGCATTTCATTCAGTTCTTTGATTTGACGCTTTTGAGCGATCCGATATTTGTTAATATTATATTTGGTCTATCAGTAGCTGCTTGTGTGGAGACAAACTTTTCTCTTCTACTGCCAATTATCCTCAAAGACATGATGAAGTTTGAAACAAGTGACATAGCCAAGCTGATGTCCGTGATAGGGTTCTCAGACACGCTGTTCCGATTCGTTTCCCCATTTATTGGAGAATGGTGCAACAAGTCACCGCGTGTCATGTACATGGTCAGTTTGCTTATGATAATCTTCACTAGAACCAGTAAGTATTATTTCATTATTGATTATTTAATCTTTTGCTCGTTTATCTATATACCTATATACTTGCGAATGTTGTAAAGACAGGAAGTCGTACTAAATAACTGATTTATCAGCAAAGACATACTACCGAAGTAAGGCAAAATATTTGATTTATTCAATATCAGCACAATGGGAAACAACAGATTTAAAGGAAAATTGTCAACATTTATCAGTAAAGGTTGTATGTAAACGACCGACTGCATTGTTGTTTGTAGATAAAATATACACACTATTCTTTAATACTTACCGTTTTTTGTACTACATCAATGACAATTGTAGGTTAGTAAACTCTTTGTATGTAAATGTACGTTAAAAATATTATTTACTTACCGAGCATTTGCCACGTCAAATCTGGCTTGTTCGAAATCTTATTTTAGTGTAAGCGTTACAAGTTTTACTACTTTAGACTGCCTAGACTTCTGTTTTCGATTTGGTCAAAATATTTGATCCCAGTTAAAATAAAAAACTAACTAAAACTAACTTTAGATTTTCCTCACTTATAATATAAGCAAATGAGAAATAATCAGGATATTGTACAAGGTAGTTAACACGTATTACCTAAATACCTACAGAACGTTTCTATGATTCTATAGAAACGTTAACAGTTATTCAACTGGTCTAATTATCCATTTCTCAATGTTCCAGTGATGCTGTTCACGACATCTTTCATGGGCATGCTGTTTGTGTCGCTAGCTCTGGGTATCACAAAGGCTTTTAGAACAGTGTATGTCAACATTGTGATACCGAACTACGTACCCATCCACAGACTAGCATTCGCTTCCGGAATCCAAATGTTCTTCAGTGGAATCACCATTTTCACTATCGGATCCTTATTGAGTAAGTATTAAGTACTATTGTTGACTGATAACGATATTATCGGGTATTGTTCTCGTGAACTACTAAATGGCAATAAATACTTATGTGGGTATAAATGATCAAGCAAAAGTCGTATAAGAAAAGTGAAGATTAATATTCTCAGCATTTTTATCAACCCCCATTTTGTAATCACCTGAAACTAATGTAATGTGAATAGAGAATAGTTTACACGTGTTACTAGGGAAGCTAAGATATTGAGAAATCAATAGCTAATTACAATCGATTAAAAGCTAGACTTTATCTAATCGCACTAACATAATTTTGTTATCTATATCATTCTCGTCAATGAATATTTTTTTAAGAAATTGGGCACTCAGCAGGCACAATCATATGGCATGACAAGTGCATTTACATTTTAAACTTTATATTACATAACTAAGTATAAAACAAAATAATTTGTCTCTACTCGTAGCTTATGATGTCTGTCTGTACCCAAATTACGTAATCATTATCGTCATCAGCCCGTCTTCGTCCACTGCTGGACATAGGTGTCTCCAATGGCACGCCACTGAGCTCGGTCTTCAGCTCTTCTCGTCCAATCACTGCCAGCCACTTTGCGGATGTCGTCACTCCACCTAGCTGGAGGGCGGCCTACTGTACTTTTGCCTAGACACGGTTCCCACTCTAGAATGCGTTAACCCTTCTTCGAAAAATGTGACCGGTCCACTGCCACTTTAGCTTACAAATGCTTTGGGCTATGTCGATAACTTTGGTTCTCTGTCGGATCACTTTGTTTCGGATTCAATCCTTCAGAGAGACTCTGAGCATAGCCCTCTCCATAGCTACCGTAGTGACCTAAAATTGGTAGGCCAATCGCACTGTCATTGTCCACGTCTCGGCTCCGTATATCATTATTAGTAGGACGCACTCGTTGAAGTCTTCAGGATTTGCGGTGTGTGCATGTGACGAGATGACTTGATTGAGTTTCCTATATTACGTAAAACCGAGACTAAAAGCTTAGTATGTCGATATCTAACACCTACATAGTAGTACATAGTATATCTAAACATTAGGCTCACTAACCTGTAGCTATCAGTTTGTTATTGTGATCTTTAGCCTAACCTTTGTTTGGCATGTACTAATTAACGATCAACGTACTACTTGGAACATACCTACACTACGTCTGTGAGAAATTTACCACTTACTAGCACACTGAGGTCCCCCAATACGCGAAATTTGTTGTTTTTAAACCTTATCTATGCGAATATTACCAGGTGCACAAAACTGTTATCGGAAAATAGTATCCGCCCCAAATCAGGATCTAGAGTGGACGTGTTAATATAATATTGTTAGAAGCACAGAACATATAACAATCTTGACATTAACTTGGTGTATTATAGCTATGTAGCTATAATTGTACTTATTGGATTATGTCTAGAAACAATATAAAACGAATTCAGATAAACATCACGTTAGTCTGTGATAAAATATAAATTCTCTTAAGACTCTTAATTATGTTCGTGTCTTTTATTGTTTTATGCTTCAGTTAATATAAATATGTATGTCGCGGAGAACCTAACGGGTAATCGGAGCTCCGGCTCGACGTGCAGGAGAAGGAACGGGGTGGTTTTTAGTCAGTAAGAGTCTGACACTCCCTCCCGCCTCACCCAGGCGGGAGCAGTCATTCAATGATTTTCCCCCCTTAAAAAAATATATAAATATGTATAAATTAATAAAATTTATTAAGCATGTTGGATGTAAAGTTGTTGCAAACCTACGTACATTTATAACCTACAACCTACTCCAAACAAACATCGTTTATGTTACTAATATCTATAATACTCAATTTTCAAATTTCAAATACCAAATTTCAAACGTTACTCAATTTTAAGTCGCGATTAAGTAGTTTTGTCACTACAATTTTTTTTATACCACAACGGTGGCCGAAAAAGCACACGGCCCACCTGATGGTAAGTGGTTACCGTGGCCTATGAACGCTTGCAACACCTGGGGCATTACATGCGCCTTGCCGACCCTTTAAAATCCTATTTACTCCTTTCTTGATTCTTCAAGAAATCCATATTGTAGACCATAGGGAAACCTTGTAAAATGATAGAGATGACACGATATTTAAGTACAACTTAATCACTTGAGATATCGCAGCGAAAATCCCCAAAATTAGTTCATACAAAAGTAGTCTCCAAATATAAGAATTAGGGTCTATAATGCAGTGTATGGAGAGCGCTCACCGGTGCCTGCTTGGATCTTGATCAGTTAAAAATGCGTAGCCTTTCAGTATTCGGGATTGAGACTACTCTAAAAAATGGTACAGATACCTTTTCTTAATAAATTATACATTAAAACTGTTTGTTGACTGCCTCGTTGACCGAGTGATCGCAAGTGCGACTGCCGGGTCTCGGGTTCGATTCCCGGGTCAGGCAAAGTATTTCTGGGTTTTTTAATGATTCTCAGTAATAGCACGGAGACTGGAATTGTGCCCGGTATATGGCAATAGGCTCCCTATCTTTTACGGACTTATAACATGAAATAGTGAAAAGTGGGTCTTACATTGTACAGTGGCATTAACTGCCGTAATGTGCACCTCTGCCTATACCTTTGGAGATAAAAGGCGTGATGTCATGTATATTAAAACTAAAGTTGACCTTTTCTTCATTTCAGCTCGAGTTCGCGAGTCATCAGGATCCTACATCATGCCAATCATAGTCCTGAACTTCGTCACACTTCTAACGATAATTTCTTGGAGTGCTGAATTTCTATACTTCAGATTTAAAAACAAATCGAAATCTGAACCAGAAAATATCACATAATAGTTTTATATCTTTTAGATTGTAATTAAATATAGCTTAATATTTCATTAGTAAATTAAACAAACAAAATCACGATTCATTCATTTATTTACATTTCAATATTTACAAAGATCTATAAAATCTGATGCGTTATAATCATAATTTTAGATACAGAAATAATACTTGAAAAATAAATCTAATTAAATTAAAGCTTAAACACATTATAAGGGATGAATATTTAATGATTACATATAAAAATAATGAAACAATATTTTATTTGAATAATGAAGTCCCAACTTTGGTTAACTTTACTTATATTTATAGTTCTTTACTTTATTTGGTCAAAATAAAAAGAACACGAGTCGCGTTCTTCTTAATTTGCACTGTGTCACTCACTGACTATAATATATTTAATAGGTACGTGTGCATTACATATATTATAGAGTTTTACACATTTTACACTTTATTATCACTGTTTTTAAAGTCACTTTTAATTGTCACAGTCCACGTCACTTAGCACTTCTCAACCTTTATGAGGATTTGCAGTCGTGGCCGTTGTGTCCTGAAATTATAAAGAAAAATATATTAGAACACAATTTTGTACACAACATTTTATGGATATATAGTTATATTGTTATGCTTGTGCCATTATCTATGTACATACATGTGAATTCAGTAGGAAAATTTGTCGTTACATTTTCCTAAGGTGTCTGTCAAATAATTATTATTTTATCTCTAATACAATAGTAGATAGCGCTCATTTATGTTATTGTTTATTCGTAAACATGAACACCGTTTTCTTTATAGCGATTTTTAATCGATTGACAGAGTACATGGAAGTCAATATATGCTCAAAACTTACAATTTGACTATTTCAAAGCGAAGGGAAAGATTGGAATTTCTTAAGACAAGTACATTTCTTAAGAGAAGAAAGTAAAAGTTAGTAAATTAGAAGAATAAGACCTCGTCCAAGTTAGTGGTAACTGTCTGTTCAGTAGCTTCTTGGAAGGACGTACTATTGCTCTCCTTCTGCGTCTCCAGTTCGTTTACTGAAAGTAAAAATACATTTTTACTTAATACAATTTATTGTTTTAACGTGGAATCAAGTAGGTACTATAATGCTATGAAAAATATTCTATTTAGCAGGATAAATATCATAGGTTTGTACAGATACAAAAGCTTGCTTTCCTCGATAGGATTGTGGAGGAAACTCTTTATTAATTTATACTGTTAATTAAGAGAAGATATCGATAATTTAAGTGTCAAATGCAAACATTTAATACTCACTGCTTTGATACCAGCTTTTAGAAAAGCCATAAGATGCATCAGACTCGATCTTTCCTCCCGATGTAAAGCCGAATGACGGTCGATTAATAAACCTCGGGGACCTGAATGGTAAATCACTTAAGTCTGAAAAGTCACCGTTGGAAGTCGTTTTCTTAGATTCAAAAGATTCTACTTCATACCATTCGGCTGACGCGTTTCGCATATCTTTCCATGGCTTTGAAGTAACAACGTAAACTTTTTCTTTAGTTAACGGTGATATTGATGTTTGTATTTTGCCCCACGGCGCTGGAGTGGTCGTGGTCGACGTACTTGTGGTACGGAAAGATGACGCCGCCGTATAAATATGAAGTTTTTGCACCTGATCTATTTCCTCGTTCTTACCACTGTTAGGCCTATTTTTCGTTCTCTCTATTACGTTGTATTCCTTTCGTGGTTTACTGAAAGTACTATTACTTTCATCAGTTACTGTGTGTTGCACGCTACTTGAACCTTCGTGATCATAAAAGTCATAATTGTAATTAGTGGTTGTTGATACGTAGTTTGTTGGCATTGTAGTTGTAAAATAATCATCAGGAATCTGCTTAGCATGCTTTTCAATGTTGCGAGTTCTTTGAGGAGTTTTGTATTGTTTAGAGTATTCCTGTTCAGTCCAGTCGTCTATAGTGTGTTGTAGTTTTATAATATCAAACGGTGGCTCCTTTACATCATAAAAGTCTTTTGATCTGTCTGAATCATAGTTTTCAACTGCAGATGTATCTTCCGTTGTTGTTACTGCAATATTGCTAGAATCTTCTGTCATGGCAGTTACAAATGAATTTTCTGTGTTTGTTGGAACTTTACGAGGTTGGGATTCATCTTTCGGTGTCGAAAGCCATTCTTCTGACATTTGTACGAAGTCCTCGTTTGTAATGGTCTGTTTATTTCCTGTTGTATAAGGTACAATTATTTGGACGATCTTCGGTCTATATACGCTTCCTTGAACATTTTCATCCCAGCTGGCTGTAGTTGGTGATGTTGTTGTTGGAATGTCATCATATATTTCATATTCATTTTCTGGTATTGGCGAAGATACGGCGAGTACGAAATCTCCATGATTTTTATGAGGAGCGTTTGGCTTAAGATACAGAAGGGGTGAATCAATATTTTGTAAATTATTTTCTGTGCGGTATTTATCTACATCGTCATCATTCAGTCCTCTCAAATCGGCAAAATTGTGTTTGTGATTAGAAGGAAACAGCGACCCAAGTTTCAAATCAGTAGGGACATTGTTGTCATATAGTTCATTACCCACATCTGCTCCTGTACTTTCAAAACTAGAATCTGTATTCGATTTAGTTGCTGAAATATGATCTTCGGAGGCTTGAGAAGATATATCCCTAATTTCATCAACTACATAACTATTAGCTATATTTCTATATGCTTTAGATTGATTTACATTAGAGGGAGGATCTATTTCAATTATAGGAGACTCAATTATAGTGGCAGGATAATCTATGGAATGAGTAAATTCTGTAAGTGGTATACTTTGCTCAATAAGAACATTATTATGGGTTTGTTGCATTGAATTTATTCCTTGCAGAACATTAGAAGAAAATCGAGGTGGCATTGGTCGGAAAGGCCGGGCATTAAATATAGGAGGTAGAGGTGATACGCTAAGGTTAGGTAGCGCCACTGGTTGTAGAGTATGAATGTTTCTACCTCTATTTAATGAAAATGGAGCTGGATTTGCGAGCGCGAATGACTCGCTTGGTATTGGTGCTTTCGTACTATTCTGTGGCACTACTGTTCTGACTTTAGATGACTCTGCAGCCGTAGCTGACACTGGATAAGAAATATCGAATAGATGTGTATTAGTAATAGGTTCACCGTAAGAATTTTTAAATGTAGTCGGTAGTGAAACTTTAGGCAATTGTAATTCTGAATTAGGCGTTATATTTTCCAATAATTCTACATCATTTTGAGGGGAAAGGTCTTTATTCAGTGTCCCGGGTTCATATTGTGGGGTAACTGGTTCGAAATTTGTGACAACTGGACGAGGAGTTTCATACCCAGGAGAAGGCGTGCCATATGAAGGAGTAGGGGTTACGTACGATGGAGATGGAGTTCCGTACGATGGAGATGGAGTCCCATATAATGAAGAAGGAGTGCCATACGATGAAGACGGAGTACCATAAGATAAAGTAGGTGCTCCGTATGATGGGGCAGGAGTTCCGAATGAAATTATAGGGGGTTGATAAGTTGAAGTAGGTATACTGAATCCACTATTTGATATTCCTTGAGATGGAGTTGATAGGAACTGTGAGTTTAATGAATTGCTATGTGATACAAATGAAGAACTAGGTGCATTATAAGACGAGCTAGGTTGAGAGTATGTTGAGCTTTGAGGATTTGGGGATATTATGTCTAAAGTATGTGTGGCACTTGGTGGGCCATATGTAGAACTAACGATTGTTCCCGATCCACCATTATAAGATAAATTAGGTGGGCCATAATTCGTGTGTGGCACTCCCGGCACAAGTTGTGGCGGTGGTTTAACTTGATTTTGTGAATTGAAAGGTTGCGGATGTGCTTTCAAAAAATTAGCATAAGCTGTAGGACTGGGTGGTCCATACGTTGGCAATGAATTCTGATAAACATTTTTAGCTCCTAAATTGTATCTAATTACTGGTAACCATGGCACTAAATTACAAGGATTGCAATCCTTTTTTATAGGAGCTACGTTATTATATAAATTTGAGCCTGTATAACTACTTTGTTGTGTTTGTTGAGATGGGAATAGCCATCCCGACACTTTTTGGAATAGGGAAGGTGAAGGAGTAGTGGTAAAGGGTTGGGGAGGAGGGACGAAATTGAAATTGTACTGTTTGTAGAAAGGAGCTGGGAATTTGAAATCATTGGATGATGGTGGGGGCGGTGGGGTTTGGTACTGGTAGCCGACATCTGAGGTCTGTCGCTGGTTTCTCTCTGTGCCTTTATGGAAGGGCACGGGTACAATGGGAAGTGGAGGCGGCGGCGGTGGCTTCAGCAGCGTTCCGAATTGTGATGCAAAGTTCCCATTGTGGCTGCTGAACCCATTCGCGTGGTCACATCGACATCGCGCGATCACGGCTATTAGCAACACAGGAAATATCTGGAAAAAGAGAGACAGAAATTAAAAAAGGGGCTCCAAGGAACTTATAGCGTACGAACATGAGTTCTAAGTATATTTAATTTAACAATTAGAAAATATAGTGAAACACTCGTCGTGACATATCGGGGCCATTGTAGGCGCTTCCCACGAGTTGCCATTCTTTGCACTTTTCTCTTTTCTCATAATACTTATACCGTCAATGGTCGCGATCGGAAGACGCCACGTTTTGAATTGAATTATGATCTAGATGTTTTCTTATTAGAAATTTATTACAATGTAAAGTATTGCGAAAAAAGGGCATCAAAGGTGACTGTTTATGCAAATTCACAAAGATAAGTAATCATCGATTTCCTGTAATTACTTACGTGCCTAACATGGATCACAGATAGTTATTAGAGTTAAGTAATAGAAAAGGATGTCAGCGGTGTTGGTAATTGGTGTGCCAGTTATTTAAGTGGGTATAGTCCCTTGTATAGCAGTCATACATACCGCAGATAATATAGTAGATATTGTAAATACGTTATTTACATACAAGTATTCAACTTGATACCTAATCGATCAACTAAACAAGCAGACAGAATTACTAATCTCAAACATTCCTAAC